GATTATCACTTTTATACCTTTTATTTTCTATATTCATAATAGACGACTCAGTATCAAGAATATAAATTTCATTTTGCAACACACCACAACCATAAAAGATCTCATCTTTATAAAACGAACAACGATTGTTCTTAACATTAATTGAAAAACCATTCATGTCCAAATACGAAATAGAAATAATGTTTTTAGTAATGGCGAGAACAAAATAACAATTTTCTAATTCTAATACTAAGCCCGAAGGCAGTGGTAAGAAGTATGTCCCTACAGCTAATGCAGCAACTCTTGCTCCATTTCCCACGCGCAGGTCAACTTCTCTTTTCTGCAGTGGTCTACTTCTCTTTAGTCCCTACATATTTATACAAATATGAGATCCACATCCGGCATCTAATACCCAAGAAGCTAATGAAGTAGACATATTAACCTCGATAACAAAAATACCTGAAATAGAAGCTTCATAAGACTTCTTTCCCTTCAAGTTAGCGAGGTAAGCCTTGCAGTTCCTCTTCCAATGACCTTTCACTCCACAGTGATAGCATGGGTCATCAGATTTGGTATTGTCCTTACCTGCTTTGACTGTTTTGTTATTGTCCTTAGCCTTTTTGGATGTTTTCTTAAAACTTCCTTTGCTTTTCCTCTTAGTGCCCTTGGAGGAATGAATGGCTAAGACATACCCAGTGCTAACCTTGACATTGGGCTCCACAGTTTTAAGCATATTAAACAACTCTGTGAGTGTGCATTCGATCTTATTCATATTAAAGTTCATAATGAACTGTGAATAACTATCTGACAGAGATTACAGAACCAAGTCAATACTTTGTTCATGATCCATGATAAAACCCAGTGAACCCAGTTTTTCAATGAAGCTAATCATCTTCAGCACATGAGCACTAACTAAAGATCCCTCTGCCATTTTGCACCGGTATAGTTGTTTAGAGGTCTCATACCTCTCCACACGAGATTGTTCATCATATAACTCCTTGAAATGAAAAATCATAGTGTAAGCATCCATACCCTCATGTTGCTTCTGCAACTCAGGTGACATAGTTGCAAACATCACACATGCTGCAGTGTTATCGTCATCACTGTGTTCGTTGTAAGCAGCCACCTTTTCCTAAATGAAATTTTCAATAGGCACCACTGGAAAGGGCTGCTCAAGGACATATCCAATTTTCTCATGTTTGAGAACGATTCTCAAATTACGGTGCCAATCGAGAAAATTTGGTCCGATCAGTTTGTTGGCATCCAGTATGCCTCTCAAATTCATATGATTACTCATGATTCAAAAAACTGTAAATGACAAAAAACATAGAATTAATATGTATTATAATGCATATGCATAAATTCAATATGAATTTTAATTAAATGTGCTCCCACTGTTTAAAATAAATTCATGACCCTCATACATAAATTATTTGAATCCACATTTGATTCCCAGTGGGCTGGGATCCCATTCGTTGTATCAAGATCTTGAGTGTACTCAACAAATCCTAATAAAACATTTGGGTAAATATTATTATCAATTGTATCTCCATACAATTCCCAAATTATTAAGCTGACAACTATTTTGTCTTCACACATCTTATGTATTAGCTTAATATGCCTCTAAAACTTATCTCCTTGAGTGTACTCAAAAAAAGATAAATTTTAGTTAAGTCAAACCCATCATTCAGAAATATCAAATATTTCATAATGTCAAACATATCCCTAATAGACCAGCTTTGAGTGTACTCAATAAGCTAAGGTCGATTTAGGATTTTCGTTTTTCACTATAATGATGAAAGCAAATAATACTAACTTAATATTTTTAACGAGGGATTTAATATGCAATGGTCTCATCAAGTAATTATATATATATATATATATATATATATATATATATATATAAGTAATAGTATGAATAATTATGGACTTGTTCTATCTAATTTTTCCGAGCCAAAGGGAAAACTAGTTGGTCAATTCCTAAGAGGTACAACATTGGATCAATACCAATACACCATCTCCATAGTGTCCACCTCTTCTTGTGCCTCCAATTAGTCAAACTTGCAACATGTATCTTATACTAGTTGGCACACATGCCTAAAAGAAATCAGACTCGCAGGCCCATAATAATAAAAATAATAATGGACTCCCAGGTCAAATATAATTAAGAGCTCGCATGCCCATAACAACAATAATAACAACGGACTCGCGGATCCAAAATAATGAAGGGCTCCCAGGCCTATAAAAAAAAGTAAATCAACCATTCAACACATCCATATGGTCGAGTCCATAATTATCCATAAACATTCATCACATAAATGTTTCATATGTATAATATCTAATATTATATGCAATGTCTCATAAATCTAGCAATTATAGTCGTCAAAACTAATTCAAAAATTTTAAGATCGAGATAATTAATTAATTAATTAATCATATTAATTAATTAACTTAATTGACGGGCCTATTTAATTAAAGCCAAATTTTTAACTAAATCCTAAATTAGAGTCCAACTCTAATTCCATAACTATTGGGCAAAGTGATTTAATCAAAATCGAATTTTAACTAATTATTAAACTAGAGTCATACTCTAAATTTTAATTTGCATTGGGACGTCGTACTAATTGAAATCAAATTTTAATTAATATAATATTAAAGTCCAACTCTAATAAAATTGAATTAATATTTTAATTTAGGACAAAAATCCCAAACAAAATAAAATTCAATTTAAGGTCAAAATTAAATATTTAAGTTAAAATCTAATTTTAACAAAAATATAAAAGCCGTCAAATTTTAAATAAATTTTAATTCTGGGTCAAACCCAATTAAAAACTCATTTTAAAACAATTCAAAATTCAAAATCAAAACCATTTTGACAATTTACAAATTTGACCCAAGTTGGAAATTAACAGCAAACCCTTCCGAATTAAAAATCTGCAGAACAGGTCCCTCTTTTAAAAATTGTAAATTGACCCCATTTTCGTAATTGCAACCACGGGCCCCTAATTGCGTTATTTGCAACAGAGGCCCCCGTCTCCACCACCAAACCCTAAAAAATAATAATAATAATAATTCTTTTCTTCTTCTCCAGTGGCGGCGCCGGTGGATTCCACCAGCAGCGCATCACGCTGCAGCAGCGGCACCACTGCGCTGCTGCGCCTGCCAGTCGTGCTGGTGCTCCGCCCGCCTCGACCCCCAAAATTTTTTTTTTTCAAGAACAGATTCTGAAAAAAAAAATTAAAACTATATTTGCTTGATTTAGGGATGAACATGATTAAACCAACATTTAATTTAATCATTATGTAAAACAGTTCCTAACAAATACAAAGTTGGCTCTGATACCACTGTTGGGAATTTACTTAAACATGCACAGCGAAATTAAACAAATTTCAATTTTCATTCAGGATTCAGCTTTGTATTTAGATAAAAACTGTTATATGAAATATACATTTTCTTGATTTTGTAAACTCCTTCGCGTTATTCCTTTCCAACAGTTTGAATCTGCCTCCCACAACTGTCCAATTGTCCAGCCTCCAATGAAATCGACACAGAGAATAGATTGCAACTGTTAGGGTTTTTCCTCTTGTGCCAGCAAGAATAATGAAAACACTATGGATCTCAAACCCTAGCCATGTATTTATATAAACCCAAACGGGCTCGGCTCGGTCCGGTCCAATATTTAATTAATCCATTTAATTAAACCCGATCCGTGAATTAATTAATTCGGGAATATAAATAACAAATCTAATTAATTAATTAATTTATCCAACGATTATTAAATTAATCAATTGGCAATTTGCAATCTTTCAATTCTCTTTTGTGTGCGATCCATTAGGTTCCCGACCACGATGCCTAACGACGTGAAATATTATTTTGATCTAATCAAAACTGATAAATTAAACACTCTTTTAATTTATCATAGATTCACACTCATCGTCCCAGATTGACATCTAGCAATGTATCAGGGCAACACATGTGACGAGAAATGTCACGTGGTATGACAAAACCAAAACTGTTCGCTTACCATGAAATTATAATCCTTTCGTCAATATGATCCGATCAACTACGAGATATGGAAGTATGTCAATCTCGATTATCGATCATATCTTTCATTCTACTATTAAGTCAATATAAGTCAAAAACTCCTTTTCGACTTATATGTATACCTTGGCCAAGAATTTCGTTATTGATTTAATTGAACAAAATGCATATCACAATCTCTTACTATCTAAGAGTGATAAATTCTCTATTGGTCATTCACAACTTTCATATGGTTCTTGACACATCCGAACGTTATCGTATTAGCGACCCTTGGCAGAGCAACATCCAACACCGTCAAAGTATGACTGTCCTCATACAAGGCACTATGATGACCTCAAGTTGTAGGACCAATTTCATTACCGAACTTTAAAGATTAACCACTGACACTTAGATAGTTATCCATGTAGAATCTCTTAGTGGGTCTCCAATGTTTTGTTCTATAATAAAACATTCACGTGTTCATTTAAGTGTTACCACACTTTAGCTCGTGAGATCAGCTACTTACTTCACAAGTAAGAAATGTCACACGTGATGGTCTAACTGTATTAACGATATCCGTATCTCGTTATTACTTACGATCGCGGTTTATTCAAGATCCAATTATATGTAATTTGTATCTCACAATCACAACTCCTTATGATTAACAAATCACTTAAATTTAGATCTTCGAATTCTATTGTTTATTATTACTTGTCACAAAATTAATTTAAATAAATTATAGATCTCGCTAAAATTAAATGCATTAAACATATTAAAAGCGTTTACAATTTGAATCGATTGGATTTAGGGCATAACACTCACACAGAGTCTACTGATTTGGAGCTTGTTTGGGATTGATTTAATTCCCAAAAAATTGATTTTTTTTTTACTATTATTTCACTATTAAAATCGTCATATTTGACTTTTTCTCTAGTAGATGAATCCACTTTTAACGGTCAAAAAATCAATTTCATATAAGCTCTTGATAAATCCATCTTTTCCCTCAATTTTCGAACTATATGAAGTCTAAAGCCAATATTTATGTTGGGTGTGGTTTAATTTTTTCTGGGTTTTCATTTTTGTATTTTGTACTGTTAAGGATTTTTTGAATTTAGAGGTTTGAGCTGTGATTCACTTGCGTAACTTTGTGACTAAGCTTTTGTTTTATATTATTGTTCGGAGATTTACACTTCTATTGTTACTCGTTCAATTTTTTCTACTCGTTTTGTTTAAATTTTTCCTGCATGCTCGATTTGTTCGTTGTGCTTAAAAATTAATCAATTTCAAGCCTGAATCTTTCGATTTCTCTATTTTGTTTTGTTCAAAAATTTTCTGTTTGCTTGATTTTCGCTGTGTTTAAGGTTAAGCAATTTTAGTTGAGATTTTCTTTTCGTTCTTCATTTTCCGTCTCTTCTTGTGTATGTTTGTTCCATTTCTTCTACGTTTATCTATATTTGCTCGATTACTTCTTTGTGATTATGGTTTATCAATTTTGACACTGACTTTTTGTTATATTTAGTTATGTCCTCTTATTTTGTGTCTTTTTTCTGTTTCTTTTATCTCTATTTGCTTGATTACTTCTTCTCTGTGTTTAAGGTGTAATAATTTCCAGTCAGATTTTATGGTTGAAAGAAGGTATTATTGCAAGGATGCAAATGAATTAGAACTTAGTATTTATTATTTTTTGTGTAACATTGTTTGCTTATTTACTACTCTTGAAAATTTCGTGACTTATTTGACATGGTTCAATTATAATCCAACTGAAAAGTTTCCCTTACGTCCATTAGTGTACAATTAGATAGTTATTTACCTTTTATTTTTTGCTCTTTTTTGTAAGATGGCACTATAGCTAACATTGAATTCATACAATTGGGAGTATTAGTAGAAAGAATTCCTTTTGTTGCCTATATTACCACTTCATTGGCACTCTACATAATTCTTTCTTTTGTTGCTTGTGTTAGTTTAACATTAGCAAAGGACCTCCATTGACAAAAAAAAAAAAACATAGGGAAATTTGTTATATTACCAAACTATTAGTAAATTGTGGTTACTTCTAGCTTGAAGTCGTTATGACATGAATTAGATTGTGCCTGAGTATTCTTAAATGTTCCTTTTCTCGAAACTAAGTCAAGGCTCGAGTTTTAATGGTAAAATAAGTAATTTACTTTGTGAAAAGAGCAAGTTGAATAATAAAAGAAGTAATTACATGTTTGGCAAATAAATAACTATGTGACTATCTAGCACACATATACTTGAAGTCGTTACCACATATGTACTTAACCATATGTTCAATGTCAAGGGTTGCCTACTGGTTCGTCAATCTTTCTTTGACAATAATTTGAGGAACTTCACTAACGTTGGAGGAGGAGTTCTTGGATGTCGAGGATTCCACTCGAGTTTTCGAACCTCCCATGTACGCTTGTCTTTGAACATAGGTAATACTGTGTTTGCATATTTTTTTTCTTCATTTGCTAATTTTAATTAAATCCATTTCCTGTTCAATAATTTAGTTGCACTTATTAATTATGATGTTATCCAATTTTATAATTTTTTTTTTTTTTTTTGGCAAATTTATCTACAACCATGATAATTCGGCCTGGTCGTGTGGTAGACTTTTTTATTTCAAACCAAAATTTGAAAGATCCCTTTTTTATTGACTGGGCAAAGGTAATGAAGAATTTCATCTAGGCAGTTGTATGTGTTTAATTGAACCACTTTCTTCAATTAAGTGTGTTTTCTCATTGCAAATAAAATCTACTATATTTGAACCCCTCAGGCAAAATGTGTTCATAAGAATTTGAGGATGATAACGATTTCCACTAACTAGGAGTATGAAATTACTGTCACTATATTATGGCAATTATGCCCAAATCTGCACCAAGTTTGCTAATTAGCAAAACCTTGCCATCCTTTCGGAACATATTCCCTTTCCAAAGCCAACTACACAACATTCTCTAAATATGCTTCTCAATCATGCAAAATGTATGATCCATCTGGGATTCAATTACCTCATTTCCTTTTTGGAACTTTTAAGAATAATATCATCTTTCCTAGAAGAGAATACGTTTTTCCCAGAAGTATGACACTTGAAGATTTATCAGCTAAAGGTAGAACCCTCTTATTCGCCTATAAAACTTCATGCCAACTTTAATTGGGATGTTCAATCCAAACAGGTTAAACAAGAAATGTTTAGTTATTATGATACTTTTGGCGTCTCTTTAAAGAGAATTCCAAGGGTAGCAAAAATTTAAATACATCAATTATGAACGTATATTCAAACTTCTTCATCTTCTTTTGTGTGGTAGTCTGCACTATTTATTTTTTCCTCTCTATTGATCAGATAGTTTTTAGTGTGCTTTTATTTTCATCATATAAAATAATTTGACTTCAAATATCTGATTATAATGATCTATTAATGCATTATTTGATGCTTTTAGTTGTTACTATTTATCATTTGTAGTATGTCACATAAATGTAATAAACACACTCATTTGCAGGGGGGAAAAAAAAGAAAGAAAGAAAGAACAAGAACACATTTGCAATTATTCAAGATATGTTGATTTGTCATGGTGGCACTATTACAAATATGTGCAGTAACTCGATCATTCAAGTTGAATATGGAGTTAACATTGCCAATATTACAAATAATTTTACCATTGGTGACCGTGAGAGAGTTTTAGTTCCAATTACCATTCACATCATGCATACAAAACTGTTGTTGATTTTTACTGGAGTACTAACTCTTCTTAGGAGATTATGAAGGTAGTTAAAGTTTTTATTATCTTGAAATGCATTCATTCAAAAATTCTTTAATTTTTGTATGAACAAATTATTGACATATATCACCTACTGTTTCTAATTTTACGAAATACTACTTTGTAGGGTCAATTCCAAAAATTATACATCTCACAAATGAATAATACCACATGTAATTGATTGTAGCTGTGTGAGAAAGCACCGCCATGAGAAGTTTGCAAGCATGGAAGATTTAGTTGACAAAATTCGGTCTTAAGATGCATCAGTCTTGGCATAGGCTCGTCCTTCTGGATCAACGCTGTAGTATGCTGTTTAGTCAAAGTTTCCTTACTCTGGTTCAGTCAAAGTTTCCTTACTCTGGCTTCCTGGTATATATGTGTATTTACATCTATATATGTCTCAGGTGAGAGTTTTGGATTTTTGAGTATGAATTTGTTGAAGTTATTGCTATATTGTAGAGGAATCAGAAAATCCTTGTATACATCTATTGCTGAACAAAGCATAAGATATATTTTTTTCACGTACCATAATCTCATGATCGATGATATTACTTGAGAGCTATTCGTATTAACAATTTAACAAACTAGGTTACCATTTAGTCCAACAGTGGCAATGGCTCGAAGGTCTAACTTGGTCCGATTGTTTGAGAAGTGCATGCATTGATAATGTCCTATTTAAGGTTTACCTTCATAGTGTTAATTAAACTGCATTGATTTCATCACAAAGTATATTTTTCATTCACTTCTTACCAATAACTACTTTGATTCAGATCGACAGTTTGACACTTACAAAATACTTCAAACCTTCCTATAAAAGCACCAGATGCAATCAGTTCCAAAGCCTCGAATAATCGATCAAGATGTTGGCATTTGGACAAGTATATCATATATGATTTGCACGTTATTTCCTAAATTTGGTTATCTTTGTAGTTCGATGTTGTGATGTTGTGAATTTCTTCAAGTTGACTCATATTTTTTCTTTTTCCCACGAGTTAGTGGTTTTTTGCAAATAAGGACCCTAAATTCCACGTGGCGTACACAGTATCCTTCATGTCTATTGATTGGAGTCATTTCTTTGCGTATTTGCTTGTACATGTATTCTCCTCTCATGAAATGCATTCATAATGTTCTGTTTGCACTGCTATTGTAATTGTCATTTTCTCTAACGCTTTCCCTAACCTTGAAACGTTTCCTTCTTATAAAACCTTAAACTATGCTATCGAGTATCGAGTTGTCCGTCATCACACATTCTGAAAGTACACAGACGACCATAGGTAGCTATTTATATAAATCATAATTATCTTAATAAAATAATTAACTTTTTAAAAAATGTTTCTTATTTCTCTTATCAGTTATAAATAATTTAGTGGATGGAAGAATATATGCCAGCAGGAGCTTTATGGCGATTTAGTCGCAACAAATTCAATATTCTCATCTTACATTTTCGTTTTGATGCATCTAGATATCTTGTGTAAGCAGTGAGATTTCAACCATTCATGTTCTGCTGTTAAATAAGTTGTTAGATAAAATTATATTGCACAATTGACAATTGAGTGTATACAATTGGTGAATTTATAAAAAGAATGAGGATTTATGCACAGTGGAAGTGACAAACTACAATGGAAATCATATGTTTAACTCAATAAATATAGAGCGAAGAGTAAAAACTTAGACCTTCTAGGTTTTATCTTCCCATTGGTATTTAGATGCTAATACAGTTTTGTTTTCTGTTATCATCCTAATTTATTTAATGTCATTTTCAAATGTTTATTTTATTATTATTATTATTATTTTGTTTTTTTGAAAAAAATAATTGTTGTGCTAATGGATAATATTCATTTCAATATCATAGGGTGTATTAGGAAATAATTAAGGGAAGTGACTGTGTTTTCCCATCAAGGTAATGTTGATGCCTCAGAATGTGATAATTTTACGAGCTTCTTTAAGTTACTTGTTGTCATTAAGGTGAATTTAAATAATAGGTGATGATTCTACGTTGCTACTGGAATTTTGATCTAAGATTGTTGTTCCTCACAGTAATAGGCACTTCAAATCGTGTGATCATTATCAACTACTTTGGGATTCTCATATTCACTTGTGTGGTCCAGGATGTGCTGCGTTTGTGGTAATAATTGGTATCGAAATTCCATGCAAAACAAAATCAGGGGTAAGTTTACTTTAATTTAATATGATTTTGAGCAACTTTAAAATTTTGGAAGCTTCTTCGTTCTTTATTGTAGTTTCGTTCAAAATTGAAAACACTAAAACAGAAATACCAGCAAAAATTCCTATAATCTATTCAACTCTATTTTGTTTCGAATAATTTGTTACAATTGAGTGGCAACAATTTGATCCTTCTATTAGTTCTGAATAGCAATTATGCAACTACTTTCCTCAATGAAATTGTAATTTGTATTAAATATGATGACATTTTGCTTTGATAGTTTCCATATTGTGTACTTAAATCTTCCACCCTTATATTCTTCTGTTTCCCCGGCTAGCTAGCTTAAATTTTCTATTAACCTTTACAAAAACTCTGTCTACCCGAATGGTATTCAAGATCCACAGCTGGTTTTGAAGTGTTACTCAATGATTGATTTTTTGTCTCTTTCAAATTACCGCAGCCTGCATCTATGTTTTATATTGACTGTATGTAGCCTTTGCTTCATTTCTATGTCAGTTCGATAGGAAAAAATCCAATGAAAGTATATTTTGAAGTACATTGTTGTGTTCTAGGTTGTAACACAAATTGTTCTCTTATAAATTTGAATTTCCCTGATGCTTTTTCAATAGTGTTTCCTTCCCTCTCTTTGTTTAAATATTTCATAATTCATTGACCTTTACATCTTTATGAAACTTTGTTTCTTTTATATAAATATGGCGTGGAAATTTTGTAATACAATCTTTCCTCAATCCTTAACGTTTAAGATGCTAACATCCCTTCAAAATAACTCATCCCGTGCATTGCACGGGCGAAAAACTAGTATTCTTAAAAACTTGAATAGAGTCAAAGATAAATTTAGGCCCCGTTTGTTTATCATTTTTGTAAGAATAAGAATGAAAAATATAGTCGTTATCTACCTCCACACAAGAGATAGAAATTCAAATTTAGTTGTTTGATGTGATATATAACGTTCATATTTTTCATTTTAATGGGAAACAAATGGGGGCTAAAGCATGTTAATCTCCAAAAATGACCAATAGGTGTCATTAGGAAATAGTTTACATGTGGACCTGTTTTGTAATGTTTCTGCTGTAAATAAGTTTGTAGAAGAAGAAAAAGATAGAGACAGTATATTGTGTTATCTTTTCTATTCAAAGATTCATCCTTTAAACAATACAAAAATTGTCTATTTATAGTGATCAGGTCGACGTGATTATCATTGGATTGGATCCATGTGGCATGATCTGCTGACCCTTTGTGTCACATCAACTCTATTCCAAATTAATTATATTGATAGACTTTTGACAGAAGGTCACACACTCTATAAACCTAGGCTGACATCCTTGGCAATCATTAAATGTGCAAGTTACATCAATCAGTTCTGGAGACGTTCTAACTAAATCTGCCAAGGACCTCGGAAACCTCAAGAGTTCGACAACAAAAGGTAAACCTACTTCGAAAACAACCTTGACACTCAATGTGATAGCGTCGGATGTTGATCCCTTTTGCATGCTTACCACGTGTCCAAATATGAGGACCTCAACTTGTATCATTTCGTATGATTAGTAACAATAGTCCCCAAGTCTATGTACAATCATTCATAAGGTACATAGAATTTACGATCTTTTGATCAACTTTGGACAAGGAAAGAAATCTGTAATGCCAGTCCCCCAATTCCAATTGGTTACATATTCTCAATAATTTGCCAAATGTCCATGTCAGTGACCATCTAGACAGGGGCCGAGGCATATGTGCCTTGTATATATACGTGGTCTTTCCTCAACATATATAGAGAACCGAAGTTATAAATGCCCAAGTTGCTAAATGCAAAATTCGAGGTGGTTTATATCATTGCTGAAGTGGTTAGAATGTCAACCGAAGTTGCATGCTATGTGAGACGGTTTGGGTAGTTTGAATTGTTGGGAATCTACTTAACATGCGTAGCGGAAAATTAAAACAATTTTCGCTTCCCGCCAAGATTCATCTTTATGTTTAGATAGAAAATTGTGATAAAAGTCATACATTTTTCTGGTTCTGCAAACTCCTTTACTTTTTCTTTGTTCCAGCAACCTTGATTCGCCACCTACAGTTATCCAATTGTCCAGTCTCCAACGATGATCCACACAGAGAACGAGATTGTGACATTAGGGTATTTTTTGTGCTACCAAGAATAATGAAAAATATCTACAATTTTTGAAAATCCTAGTCATATTTATATGTAAGTCCAAACGGGCTTGACCTGACCTGATCTAATATTTAATTAACCCATTTAATTAAATTCGGTTCGTTAATTAATTAATCCAATTAATTAATTCAGACCTATAAATAAACAACTCAGTTAATTAATTTATCCAAAACTTGTTAAATTAATTAATTAACAAATCACAATTTTCTAATTCTCCTTTTGTGTGCGACCCATTAGGTTTTCGAATACGTTGCCCAACGACGTGAAATATTATTTTGATCTAATCAAAATTGATAAATTAAAACACCCTTTTAATTTATCACTAATTCACACTCGTCGTCCAAGATTGACATCTAGTAATGTATCAAGGCAACACTTGTGATAGGAAATGTCACGTGGTATGACAAAATCAAACTTGTTCGTTTACCGTGAAACCATAATCCCTTTGTCAATATGATCCAATCAATTATGAGATATGGAAGTATGTCAATCTCGATTATCGATCATATCTTTCATTCTACTATTAAATCAACGTGAGTCGAAAACTCCTTTTCGACTTATGAGTATACCTTGGCCAATGATTTCGCTATTGACTTGATTGAATGAAATGCAGATCATAATTTCTTACTATCTAAAAGTGACGAATCCTCTATTAGTCATTCATAGCTTTCATATGGTTCTTGACATACCCAAACGATGTCGTATTAGCGACCCTTGGCAGAGCAACATTCAACACCGTCAAAACATGACTGTCCTCATATAAGATACTATGACGACCTCAATTCAAAGGACCAATCTCACTACCAAACGTTAGAGATTAACCACTGGCACTTAGATAGTTATCCATGTGGAATCTCTCGAAGGGTCTCCAATGTTTTGTTCTATAACAAAATATCAACGTGTTCATTTAAGTGTCACTACACTTTAACTTGTAAGATCAGCTACTTACTTAACAAGCAAGAAGTGTCACACATGATAGTCTATCCATAATAACGATATCTGGAACTCGTTATTGCTTACGACCACGGATAATTTAAGATTCATTCATATGTAATTTTTATCTCACAATCACAACTCCTTGTGATTAATAAATTACGAAGATTTGAATCTACGGACTCTATTATTCAATTTAATTGTATATTAATTAGATAATAAATCTGTCATTAAATTGCATTAATTATATATTAAAAGTATTTATATCCAAGGTTG